TTTGATGAAGTTCTATTTTCCTTAAAAGTTTCAAGTTTCTATCAGTACGCTGTCAGGTTTCACACAAAAAATATTGGTCAGTAACGCACAGACAAAAAGGTTCTTCTTTTTTGGGTCTATGTAAGCGAAATGAAAACATAACGAGATACTTTGAGTTAATCAATTAGGTGAGAGATGGTTTTGTAGCTAACAGTCTGGGCTATCTTCTGATTAAAAGAAAAGATCGATGTGTTGAAAAATGAGTGATCTATAGACAAAATATCAAGTAACGCACAGTTATTCGTCTTCAAAAGACAAAGTTTCGGTCAGTTATATTGGTCTGAAACATCAAAATAATGATGTTGATTCATATTTCGAGCTGCCATCAGTGTTTTTATGTTAGAAATGGATTAAGATTTGCTTAAACTAAAAGAGTGCTCGAAATGTCAAAGTATAGACAAAAAGAGCTCTTTTAAGTAATTTTTGTATGAAAACTGTAGATTTTGGCTGGCACAACTATGATTTCTTATCTTGATGTTGAATTGAAAATAAGGTAGATCGACGTAGAATGTATGAAAACCTACATAAAAACTTTAAATGAATAGGATCAGTTGTTTTACGCCAGAAAATTTCGGTCGTCAACTTTAGCAACGCTGGTTGACCGTTAGCCGTTTTCATTGTGAAGTTTCTGAAAATGATGAGAGGAAAAAAATGTGTTTGGAAGATAATGAATGTGACAATGGAGTTCAACGATAATTAATCATTTTTGTTGTTCACTGAGGAAAGACAGTAAAATACTTAGAACATACCAAAAGTCTTTACGAGACTATATCAATTTCTTATAGAATGCTTGAAGATATTTTCATTTTATATAGACTGATAGTAAAAACAAAGCTCTACATTTCTACACTATTTGATCATTATTCATCTAATATTATAATAATAAAATTTCGATGAGAACTATTTTTTGTGTAAACTTAACTAATGGGTGAGGCATATCAATAACTACGATTTGCATTTCAGTTTTCAGTTACCCTAATACGCTGTATTAAAAAATAAAATATACTACAAGAAGCTCTACAATTGATAAAGAACAGTTTATTTTATCCATCCAATAAGAAAAAAAAGGAACTTCTCTTCGTATAGAAAAAAAAAATGGTTTTTTTCAAGACAGCAAAAATTAGTCGCATAGGATTTTACTTTGTTTTGAAAACAAGAAGTAAACAATGAAAATAAGCTTTGCTTTGTGGACTATAGAGCTTTTCACGCTGCATCTTGTGATGTATTTTGGTCTTCTAAATGAAAGATATCAGGTGAGAAAAAGGTGAAATAAGCAAAAATGAATTCATCCTATACCAAAAAAACATCATTTTCGCAAAATCGAAAATTGGTGACTCAAAATTTAGTTATTTTGAAAAGAAAAAGTGCAACTATAAAATAAGTGGTCTTATGTAAATTGTAGAGCTTTTCATGCTGCGCATCTTCTGATGTATTTTGATTTTAAATACAACTTATTCAGTGATGGAAACATTTAATCTGTCCAACCTGTTAGTTAAGTTTACACAAAAATAGTTCTCATTGAAAGGACGGGGGAAGGGGGGGCATTAAGAAATGAAATCGACCTCCACTTAAAATTACATTTCATGTTTTCTAAATTGTCAATTCGAATATCAACAGTCGATTATCGTTCGAATTAGACCATTAGACTTCGGTCTGGCTGTACACAATCGACTGCAAACTCAATATTATCTATCCCCAATAGGCTCATGATAGGTTCTTTTTATACGAGAATTTTTTCTTCCATCTTCAACTCTTTCAAATTTGAATTATATATCAAATGAAAGTCCTTTCTCTCCTCTGTTGAATGGTATATAGTGAGTTTTGTTAGCTTTTTCAGATTGTTAACAATGACTAAAGATTATTTCATGCAATGGACAATCTACTGAATTGTTTTAGATCCATGTGAACTCTTTAAATTTATAATAGTTGAAATTCAAGATAATCCATCAAAATTACCTATTTACTGTTTACTTCTCTTTAATTAAAACTTATAAAAAATTGTGTCGAAAATTGATTTCAACTAAAGATTCTTTATACTGATGTCTTTTTAGCTGCATAGTGAATAGTTATGGAGAAATAGGTTAAAAAATAAAAATTAGTGTGAAGCTCCTCATAGAATTTTATGAAAATAATTTTAAGTTTCATTATTTAAACTTCTAAAAAAAAATTTTACATTTTTTTTCATGAAAAATAGAAGAAAACAGTCATCAATGAACCAATTTCTATTGAATGATAAGACCACTAATGAAGCTATAATTAATTCTACTAGTCAGAGTTCCAATAAAGTATCTCATTCAAACACATTTCAACAGAAAAAACTTGAATTCGTCCATGAGAACAAAACAACGAAAATCTTATGAGAAAAGAAAATTGTCGCATCCCATAAAATGAAATGTGGATGGGATAAAATTGTCTTATCCTATTCGGAGATCTGTCTTCTTATTTGTGATTTCAACAGCATACTAGTTAATGTTGATAGCTGTTATTCAATTGTTTTAACTGATCAATATCTTTAAAAAAGAAAGAATATTTTATAGTTTTTATTCTTCTCAGCAAAGGATCGAAAACATTATATGCTACTGCTATAGAGCTTACGAAAAAAAAAACATCGAAAATCATCAAAAACTTGAATTCATTGAATTTGACAATGACTATCTTTTTTTGTTTTCTATTCGAAAAAAAATTAAAAAAATCTCACGCTATTAACTGACAACTTTCTTAGATCTACAAGTTTATTATGCTACTATATTTTTCAATATTTGTCTATATAAAATTCACTCAGAACTTAATCAAAAAATTTTCTTATTGATAAAGTAAATGTTTCTGATAGATTAAAATAAATAGATTGAATACATTTGCACTAAATCTTTAATATCCGTTTGAAAATTTGTTTAGCAATTCATAGATTTTCTATTATTTCATTTAGGATCAGAAGCAGCAGCAGTTACAGCAGTTATCCTCGATGTTCGTTCAGCGGTCTTTCCGCCACCACGGCCGATTGAATTTAAAGCTGATCGTCCATTTTTATTCTTCATTCGTGAAAGTCGACAAAATATTGTCTTATTTAGTGGCAGATTTATGTCACCACCGAAAAGCTCATAAATAAATTATTTCAACAATCTTATACTTTGTTTTCATGTATCTTTTATTTCTTGAGTAAATGACATAATAAACATTGGTTAACTTTTATTATTGAATTGTTTACTTTTGAAAAAAATTAAAAGTTTTACTGTACGACTTCATAAAGAAACTTATAAAATGAATGTGAGAAAACATCGAAATTTTAGCACTGAGCATAAGTGTGCATCAACATTGAAGTGTCTATTATGTGACAATGAAAATTTCAGTAATGTATCCAAACTCAAATGAATAAACACTGCTCTTATCAATGGGCATTTGTTGAAGATATTTAGACAACAAGATTTTCTATCATAACAACCAGTTTTCTTCTGTCATTTAATAAATTAATCATTTACAAACAATAATATGAATTTGCCTTTTTTTTTTTTACTGAGAAGAAATGTTTGCTTTTTGTATAGATTTGATGACAATTTAAAGCTGAAGGTCTATGGAACTTCGTCCAGTTTTCTTACAGCGATATTTGATTGATACTGGTCATCATATTGATGATGTGGTTATCGTTCAAACCAGACAATGTTTTCCTTGTTCTTTGACGAAAGTAATAGTATAAAAGCTGTTAGCGCAAACCCTATGGGATTAAAATGTGAAACACGATATACCCATTGTTGCTGATTCCCTAAAAACTCGTCTTTTTATGTATATCTGGGTATGTTACTGCATTGTTCCTTACTCTAGAACATAGAACTTCAACAAGGAGATACTCCATAGATAGGGTGTGGTACATTAACCCCACATCCACATGATAGACAAACTAGTCCTATTAGGACTTTATTGTTATGAAATTAATTGAAGTCTGTTCAAATAACACTTTTTTTTGTCTATCGTTCTATATAAAAAGAAAGTTATATCAAGCTTAGTATTCGGTACTAACATGCCACTGCTACTACTTTTGGATATTCCTAAAGAATATCAGAATATCAAGTGTTCAAAATCTTTTAATAAACAAAAATCCAATCATTTTCTCAGATATCTATTAGCTGTATATATCGTTTTTCGCTTCTATATCTTCTCATTTTGTATTCGAATATGATGAAAAAAACATTCAAAATAACTAAAGCAATGACTTTAGTCTAATAAAATATAACTATACTTATATTGTCTCTATGAAGTATTGTTTCTCTGTAGTTAAAGCCTACGTATAAAGAAATGACTAATATCGTAGAATTTATAAATAGAACCTTATCATTATTTAATGATAACAATGAAAACGTGACCTTACTCAGCACATAGCCATGATTTATTTTAAGATATAAAAGACAAAAGACATTATTTGCAATAACACAATATATATTTTTATAGTAAGAATAATAATCGGACAGAATAGTTCAATACATGACGACAGTATCAAAAGTGAATCCAAATCTGATCTGAAAACGGATTCTAATAATACAATTAAAATTCTGAGAGAATGGCATGATGAACAATTATTAAAACATTGTAAAACTGTTTATTTTGATGTTGAAGCTTGGTATAAGATCATACAAAGTGAAACATTTTATACTGAATTTATTTCAATTTTTCCATCAATTGCTCAAGCGTTTGTTAACTTTTTAAAAGCACATTATACATCAGACAAATTATTAAATTTTAATGACACACAAATTATTGTATCAATAGAAAATCAACTAAAAGAACAAATATTCAATTGAAAAACAAAGAAATTTCATAGTAATGGTGCTTTTATTTGTTTAAGTGCACGAAGTCCAAAAGATGGAAGACGCATAGATTCTCAAAAAATCAATTAATTCTATGAACAAAAATTGAATGAATTACAGCTCTAATATCCAAATGAATATAAATCAATTAAAGGCAAAGCAAATATGCAAATTATTGTTAGCTGGTATGCTCAATTTTATTCATTGAAAGTTACCAGCGAAACTGAAGTACTAAATTTAATTCTATCAAATGCTAGAGTTTATCGTGATTTAATAGAGGCGCTCGATTACCAAAAAATGATGAATAATAAAATTGCTAATATTAATAATATCGAATTACATAATTGGAATAATAATATAATAGTTCGTGAGTGGAATAATTCATTAGATCCTTCGATGGAATTTCGTTGTTTTGCTTATCAATCGAATCTAAATGCTATATCACAATATAATTATTATTGCAAATATTATCATCTTCTAAATGATACAATTATTCAGAAGATAAAAATAACAATTATTAAATATTGACAAGAAAAAATTCAACCACTTTTAGATCCATGGCCTGAGAAATATTCGAATTATTTGATTGATATTGGATTAATTGAAAATAAATCAACTAATAAATATGATTGTATTGTTATTGAAATGAATCCATTTGAGACAACTACTCATCCATGTTTATTTGATTGGACAAAAGATAATAATCAGTTAAGAGGACAAAGAAATGAAATAGAAATACGTGTACAATTAGATTATTATCCAAATGTTGAAGATTATGTTGAATTTATTCTTGATATTAATCAATATGATGGAAAGAATAATTCCTCATCTGATCATTCTAGCAAAGAACCCTATTTTATCTTTTTAGATAAGATGAAAACACAACTTTCTTTATGATCAATATATATTATTAAAAATTGTACTAATTTTTAGTTTATTACATTAAAATTAGAAGTACTATCTTTTGTTTTCAAATAGTAAACATCAATTTTTGTTATCAAATGTAAAGAACAAAGCGATACTCGTTTAATATTGGTTTATTGTCTTTTTTTCTTGAGGTCTATATTGAGGATATTATATACTCAGATTTGTCAATGCAATTCACAGACCAACATCAATAGAATTCAGCAGCCTAGATGACTTACCTATTGAATTGTTGTATCGCATTTTCAACAACCTTTCGACAACAGATATGTCTTATCGTGTTTCATTAGTTAATCATCGTTTACAAACCGTAACTCTTTCTTACTCACATTTCGAACTTGATACAGAAACTCGTAAGTTTAAGCGTCAATGTTATCGTCTTCATCCATCGCAAATTTCTTCGCTTTGTCTATCTCTCAGCACAATAAAATATTATTTCTCAGTGAATTATTTTCTTCTTCATCGTTCTAAGAGTTACAAACAGTCGGATCATATTGACAATTTTCTTAGTGTCTATCAAGACCGATTGGATCAATTTAATCCTTTGCACTCGTTGAATTCGAGTGGTGTTTCTGATGAAGCTTATTTACATATACTCAATCATTTGAGACAGGTCATGCCTAAACTATTGCTGATATTACATATCATCAAAGACATGATGATTTCGTTTGTTCCTGAGCGAATCGTCCATTTCATGCAATTACGTATTTCATTACCAAATCTTCGTCCGATTATATTATACAAACCTACTCCTCTATTGCCACTAACACTCTGTTGTTCGTAGTCTTGAACACGTATATTTTACTAAGTGTACAATTTCACAAATGCACGAATTATATAAATATTTGGGTGTGGGTAGGTGTACCTGTGTCGGTGTGAGTGTAGGTGTGGATGGCATCTTCACCACCTCACAAGTGCACACACCCACACCCACACCCTCAAGCTTTCCTATTACTGTCCTACTATGTTTTCTAGTACACCTTTATGGACTCTATACAACTGTAACATTCATTTTAATTTTCCTTTTCGCTAGTTTCATAACTGAGATCTTGTCATTAGTTGTGGAAATCGAAGCCTAACTGCTGTTATGAATGCTATGGCATTTTGTCTATTGGAATTTGTTCGAAAGTTATTCAAAACGGATGCTTTCATGTTTAACAATGATTTCTTTTGCATTCTGATCTTTATTTGTGTTAACTAGGAAAAAAAGAGTATATACCATCCCTAATGCATTCGATTTTGCAGATTCTTAGTCTGTTCATGAGACAATGCCCTGTTTTTAATTGACTCTATCAGACTATTTAAAGTGGAATAAAATCAATAAGACCGATGGTTCCGAATGAGTCGAAATATTTCCCTACTGACAGTTATTGATTGAAGACGCATAAATTTTCGAAAGTGTACGAATAATTTTTTGTTATGAAAAATTCATGTATTTCTCTTCATTTTTCAGTAAAATAGAGATTAATAGATATCCAAAGCCCGAAATTACAGTATATATACTAGGCATAATGTGCTACAAGATATTACCCATAAGAGCTCCTAAGTTGGTTTTTATACGGTAAAACAACAGAAAAGAAAAAAGTCATAAGGGGTATACGGATAATTTTTCGACTCACTGTATATATATCGCATACAGATTGTGTGTGTTTTTTTCGTCTTGATCTACATGTTTCATGCGTTGTATTCATTTTTTCTTTGATTATTTTCATTAACTGCTAGAATAAAGATGGAGATAAAAAATGTCAGTTTTCGGTTTTGGTTCTAAGAACCCTGGAACGTATAGTGACTTACCGCAATATGAAAGAGAAAATGTCCAAGCAGTCCGGCATGTTCAAAGACGCGTAGAAAATGGTTGTTAAAAAGATTCCCGTTCCTGAAAATCCGAGAACGGAACCGTAAGAAACAGAGAACCTTGACGTCCCTATTCCAGGTAGATTCTTAATAGGAACTTACGAATCCTAAAAGTTCATATCTATCTCTTATCTATTGTCTTGTCATCATGCAAAAGTTTTCTTAGAGTCTTTCTAAAAATTTCCGATGTTCCACGATTTATGGTTGTGCCCTATCAATTTATTTTAAACAAAATGTCACTGATCATTTTTAAAAACTGAAAAAATTCTTCCTATATCTATTTTGGTTCAAAAATAATAAACAAATTAGAACAGGAAATGACCTTCCAGACAGTCTGTATATTATTACGTTAAAGTTCGACAATATATACTTGGCTCAGTAGAAATTCAGTGGTTACAATTAACACTAGGAAAACTCGAAGATAATCAAGTGATTCAGCCGAACAAATTCTGTATAGGTGCCTGTGCGAATGCATTTTATCATATCTTGATTCACAAAATTGTACTATACTCATTCAACCATTATATAACGTGGAAATGTGAGCAGCACATTTATCCTCTTCGTCATCCATTTGGCAACCACTTGATTGAGCATATGAAGCATTATTTCTCTTTAAAAAAACACAAAATATTCATTTTTCTATTAATACAATAGTGACTAGAAATTTATTTAGTGATATAATTGTTGAAGAACAATCGACAATAGATCAGCGTTTATCAAAACGAAGAAAATCACTAAATAAACGAGATCATTTATATATTGGATTGTATTGGACTGATGTGCAAAACATAGATGAATATGAAATATTTTGGTATTGTCTAAAGGGGTACGGAATGATTTGAGAGGAAACCTTAGGCAATCAGGAAGACGGCAATTATTTCATCAATATGGTCGGAAGCGGACTCCTAATGCAAAGTCAAAAAGAATAAAAATAAATATGCAAACACAATTATCTGGACCGATGTAGAATTCAAATTGCTCACCTACTCATCCATGCAAATTTTCCCTTGCTGAATACGAACAACCTAACACAAATGGATCACTATTATAGTTCACCTTAATACATTCTTATTATTAGTTTAGTTCTCGTCTCTATCCTCACTATCGTATCCACTCTGATGTTGTAGAGAAATACACTATACCTATACATCATTCTGACGAGAAAATTTTCAGAAAGTATGTAACTATATAGGCATGATAAGCATTGTTTTTAGTCAATGTGCCATGTCATTTATTTCTTGACCCTTTTTTCTGTCATGTCATCGGAATAAAGTATGTCATTAATTTTGTTTTGATTACCGATTAATTAAAACTTCATTATTAGGACTCTTTGAAGATTAACGCAAACAGAAATATGAGAACATTGATCTATTGAGTATAAAAGTGAAAGCTAAAATAAATATTAGGTTATAACGATTGAATATATTATTCGTTTGATAAAATTTCATAAGATTTTTCTCGAAATGACAAATTCAGTTACAACAGAAGTAATCAATATTCATTTATTTGATAGTCCAATTTGCTAGATAACAGACGTAAATTAATGAATGAGAGTGCAGATGAGAGAATCTTATATTCTTTTCTTACATCCAACTAGACAGTTTTACAGTAAGCAGGATAGCAGAATAATAGACGCTGAGAGGATTGTGGGTGGGTGTGGGTGTGATATCTCAACCTCACATTCTGCATTCCACACTAATATATTTCATTGTGAGCAACGACTTTTCAGAAGGAAAAACTTACCAATTTGTGTTCTCACCTCGTTGTCTGAAGGCAATGATATCCGATTGTTTGAAGAAGTAGACGTTTTTCGTGCGTGTTCGTTTGTTGTAGTACAATGGTTCGAGCTAGTACCATCTTTTCCTATCGGTAAAGGTAAATATTTGTGATATTAAAGATCTGAGAAATGATTTATTATTCTTCTTGGATTTGTAGCATCAAACAGACTTTCAACTACTATTTTCTTGAATAAATTTGCATTTGGTAAATTACTAGGTGGAGAAGATTTTTCGAAATTTGTATATTCATCACATAAACGATATATAACCATAAATAGATTATAATTATAAATCAATTTGATTTTGGACTTCGAAATAAATGCATTGAAAATTTCTTTATAAGAATCATCGTTGACCATCGGAAAGATATAATCAATGAAATTATATTTTAATGGATCATTGATTATTTTCATATTGGTGATATACATACCCGATATAATTATCAATAAGAATCTATCAAGAAGAAAATGCAATTCGATGAAATCAATACAATCGTTTGTTATCCATAATTTGACATGTCAATGACAGATCATGTTCATTTTTGAGTAAAAGGTCAACTCAAATGATGCCGTCATGTAGAGTATTGTAAGATATGTTGTTCGATAGTCTGAAAACATCGATGTTTACTTTATTATTTAATACATTCATAAGATATTGATATTTTCGAGGGGTTAGATTTCGTAAGTTCATCCGTTTTTACTTTTTTCGATGATTATTATAACTGTGTATTTTTATTGTTATATACCTATTGGATAACTGAATGAGAATGAAAGCAACTAAAACGGTTCGTGCATCGCAATCAATGGTTGCATATATAATATAACTCAAATCAAATCGTCTTTTGTCGTTTTTGTATAAAAACTGAAACATTGAGAAAAAACATACACACGGTGTATTTCATTCAAGCGAAAGAATTATCAACACCGGCAAACGAGTGAAAATGCGTTTAGATGAAGATCTTTATCAATTATTTCTTAAAATCTTTACTCACAGTCATACAAAATATAATGATTCATTCTTTCAGTATTTACTCTACAAAGAGTATTTTATTTTGTACAAATACTTTTTTAATTTCATTGAGGAATGATTTTGATATGAAGAGATTTACATAACAACTAGTACAACATGAAATATTAAGAATAAATTGACAATTCTTTTTATTTGTTTATAGATGAGAAAGATGGCAAAGATAAAACTAAATAAACTATACATCGTGATATCTCCAATTAATATCAAAAGTAATTGTCGATCTTTCGAAATGGAATAAATATTCTTGTCTATAATAGTTTCTCTACTTCGAATATTATGAATTGGTTATAATTCACAGATGATCATCAATGAAAGTATTCGAGTTTGCTTAATGATCGTATTATAATCGACAAAAGTATTTTGCACACCTTGTTAAAGATTACAAATAAAAGCATGAGAGATAATTTCCATAATATTGGTAAAAATCAATGCATAACTGTGAAATATCATCTAGAATATTGTCCCTATTATAATAGAGACAAGAGCAAGACGATAAGTACTTCGATGTCTTGTTCAAGCATGATGTGAAGTGATTTATATCCGATCAATATAAGCCAGAATTAAATAAAATTGACTTAAATAATCAAACAAAAGTACAGCAAAAAGGATGCAAACAACAGAAGGCTAAACTGGATGTACTTAGATCAATTTAATATCCTAAACTTAATGTTGAGAATAATAGTGCACAATGGATATACAGTAGATTAGCACTTTTATATGCAATATAAATTGAAGAATTATATCTTCCTTATAATGTATAGAAATTTCGAATTTTGTAATTCATTTCCGGTATAAATTTCATTTCAGCCATTTTCTTATGACTAAGAATTTTTTATGCAATTATCTATCAGAATGATCCTGTAATCGATATATTTATATTATTTTCATCACAATTTTTCTTATAGAAAAAATCTTAACTTTCAATCAGTAATTCATTTTATAACTGGTTTCTTTCATTTCATTAGCTGTCATTTTATTCAAAGTTAAATAACATCAATTCTAACTGTCGACTTCTATTAGATACCATTTTTTTTCTTATCAACGAAATTTTAATAACTATAAATAATCATTCTTTTCATTCATCTTTCCTTTTCTTAAAGAACAGAGATCCGAGTTTTCAATCTAGTCACACTAGTCATTTTGCGTAGTAGTCTTTAATTTTCTTCTTCTTCGAAATATTATTATTATTACCATTCAACATCATTACAATACAGTGCTAAATATTAGATGAGGTAAAATATAGTGTCCTATTCTCTTGTAATTATTTACAAAATAATGCAAATATTCAATATTGAACCTAATCGCTAGAGAATGATAAAGGGTGTGGCTGTGGGTGTGGCAGTGGCTGTGGGTGTGGCAGTGGCTGTGGGTGTGGCAGTGGCTGTGGGTGTGGGTGTGGCTACGGGTATTCATTCTACCCATACCTAAACCCTTAATCACACCCACATCCACACGCACACCCACACGCACACGCACACCCATCCACACCCACATCCACACTCCACCCACACCCACATCCTTCAAGACGTGCAATTCTCTGCCCAAGAAACGAAGATGTTCGATTAATTAATGAATGCGTTTTGATAAATTTAAACAATGTTGAACAAATGAGTTTTTACGCGATTGACTCTATAAAAAATGATGAGGGTGTAGACGATCATGATTTACAAGTCAATATTCCCGTAGAATTTCTAAATACTTTAAGTCCATCTGGATTAGCACCGTATAAATTAATTTCAAAAGTCGGTTGTATAGTAATCCTTTTGAGAAATCTCTCGGTAAACAAAGGACTATGCAATGGAACTAGAATGATTGTTAAAGCCTTTCGTCAAAACGTACTTCAATTGGAAATTATTACTGGTGCATTTTCTGAAACTCTTCATTTTATTCCTAGAATTTCTTTGGATACACCGAATGATCCGGCACTTCCATTCAATTTCGTTAGACACCAGTTTCCAGTTCGGCTTGCATATGCGATGACAGTAAATAAGTCTCAAGGTCAAACTTTTGATAAAGTTGGCCTCTATCTTCCAGAACCATGCTTTTTACACGGTCAGTTTTATACAGGATGTTGAAAAGCAAAGGAATCTAATGGTTTAAAAATTCAAGTAAAAGATACCACTAGACAGGGAAAAACGGATAATGGGCAAACAGTAATAGATAATGTTGTTTATCTGGAGATTTTTTCGTGAATTCCATATGCCTAATGTTCTGAGTCTATAACTTTAGTATTTCCTTTTTTATTTAATAATTCAAATAGCAATCCAAAAGTTTTTATTAAACCAATTTTTCCTATAATCTTAAAGTTCAGCTCTTCACAGGGGCCTCTAGTTTATAATTATAATTGAGATAAAAATTTATCTTTGGCCGTTGTGGCCGTTTCGACATGAAAGTGTTAGTTCGAATTTTTTCATTTATTTTCGAAGTGATATTAAGCTTTCAGACTTTCATTTATATTCGAAGTGGAATTAGGCAACTCATGAATGCGATACAAGGCTGTAAATTTTTGTATTAGCACATTTAGGACATGTTTTACCACCACAATCTATGTCAGTTTCATCTTGATTCTTCACACCATCGCTGCAATTGGGTTCTACAGAGCAGATAAAGAATTACATAATATTTCATATGAAGAAAAATGGGATCCGGACAGTTGGTCGTAGGACACTTGGTCGCCGAACAGTTGCGCGCGGGCAGTTGGTCGCAGGACAGTTGGTCGCAGGACAGTTGGTCGCATGGACAGTTGGTCGTATAGTGTAAATAAGAGGAATATGGGTGTGGGTGTGGATGTGGGTGTGGGTGTGTGGGTGTGGATGTGGGTGTCGGTGTGCGTGTGCGTGTGGGTGTGTGTGTGGGATATGGGAGTGGGGCGTGGCTGAGTGTAGATATAGTTCTTCTCATCTCTTCACCCACGCACACACCCACACCCACACTCTCAAATGTTCTCTGTTTAATTATTTATAAAATAATAAATAATGTTCAATTGTTTTTGCACTTCATATTCCTCTTATTTATGCTATGCGACCAACTGTCCAGCGACCAACTGTCCGAACCCAGAAAAATATACCTTGACATGTTTTAGATTTGCACACTTCACTAACACAATCTGAGTCGGCTTTGCAGGTTCTTCCATTGGGACATTTTGGACATATGTCACCACCACAATCTATATCAGTTTCATTACCATTTCTATAACCATCAGTACAAGTGGGAGCTAAAAAAAGAAACAGTTAGGAAATAATTCGATTCCTAAGTAGACTAGAATTCTCATGACATGTTCACTATTATGTATGATTGTCCTGAAAGGCAATCCTGAAAGTCAACCTTTTCTCAAACATTTAGATGCGAAAAGAAAGATTGCTATAGCGATTGTTAAGACGATTCAAGAAAGCTTTTCTAGTGAAATTCATTTGAATCGTTTTTCTGTAAAAAAGTAGAAAAAAGTAGAACTATCTTTTGAACGATTTATTATTATTACATGGATTTCAATGGTTGAGTATTGTTCAAATCGATCTCAATCTATTTAATTGCGAGTAATATTTTGAGATTTGGATATGGATATAAGAGTCGCATGTATGATGAAGGGCAATAGTCAATTCAAAATGCTTTCGTAAATTATCATCAAATCCCAAAGGATCCGCCCTACGAACTGTAATACATGGGACGAAGTTTAATTGAGAGGTGCACTTGTATCCTTTCTCGAGTCGAAGAGTCTGAATAAATGACTAAAAGCGTCACTTTCCAGCTTAAATCTAAACATTAACACTTTGAGTATCATATGTCTTAAAATCGATTTCCGAATTCAATATTAATTGTAATCCATCTAAAGATGACAGACAAAATCCATTCAAAATTGATTTTGGTAGGAAATTTACACACGAGGGTGTACATGGACAAAGAGCAGGACAGATAGCTCTGCTAGAAGAATTAAAAATAGTTTGTTTTATATGTCTAAATGAATTATGTCGCTGTATTATCGGTTGAGTCGGGAAAGATATGAAAAATTAAAATGTGGTAGGTGAAGATGATGATTTTTTCTTGAACCTCACCCTCACACCCATAACCATATTCACCCTCAACTTTGGAAAAGTTCTGCTCCTATGCAGTTAGCATACCTTTACATCTTTTCTTGTCGCAATTACCGCTCGAACACTGATCGTTATATTTGCAAGGAGCTCCATCATTACCGCTCTTCATATTCCTGCTGTGAATTGCTGAAAATCGACCTAGCTGAATATCATCATCAAGCTAGAAGAACATTACAGAAGTAACAAGAGAATATGTATATAGATGAAGGTAAAGACACATACCATTTGGGCCACGCGGTCGCTTTCGAAATCTTCCTGTGATGACATAGCCACATTCAAACAAAAGATAAGAACACCAATGGTTAGCCACATCCACCTATCAACAAAGATTTTCATGAACTCTCTTTCATATCACTGATCTAATTCGGTAATTGAAGGTCACAATGATAAACTGGTATGCTCTTGCAGCTACTAATGGCTACATGAAATATTCCACCAAAGTATACAGCAGTGTTGAAGAAGACAAATAATCATTTATGATTGTTTTCATTCTCAATTTTTACTTAAAATACATATTTCATATGATGGGTTTCAGCTTTTAATAACTAAAATCTTCAATCAAAATATCTGTTTCAACAATAAAGATTCTATTTTTCGGGTGACCAGTGTAGTAGTACAGGTAAAATTTTCTTACAGTATATGTTGCGATAAATCCTTCAATCTTGAGGATGTGGTTGCGGGTAACAGTGAGAGATTACTATAAACTCTCACTCACACGTCTACATTCATCGCATTCTTACATTCACGGTAGTAACCTTTGATAAAATTGTTGCCTTAAAAAAAGGTTTTTTTTCAGTCTTATCGCAGCCTAGAATCTGCTCATGAAGTATTGTGAGATCGATATCTACACTTAGTCATGACATAGACATTTGAAATTTCCCAACTATTCTTATGTTAATGGCCGTCAACTCTAACTGAGAAGATGATCTCTGACATTCGTTTTGTTCATACAAATCTCATCCTAAAGAGCCGTTCCTATTTCTTTCTCGTGTATCACTGATTTCAAACGATTACGGCCTTTTTCTTAACTCAATTCGTAGAATGAAAAGAAAAAGTTAGCTTTTACACGAAGCGAGATAAAAACAGTAGACTTACCCTGTTGCGTTTCCATGACGTCTTTGATGTATTTGCATTATAATACCCACAAAATTCGAATTAATCGAAGAATCACACTGAATATTTCCTGGAAACAGATATATATGTGAATAGATATGAATATATACATGTAGCGATCGATCTAATAGAAAAACTATTGAGTTTAGATCTAACATATGACAAATAATATCCATGACATCAATTAATCTAGCCCATCATTCTTTGTACAATAAAGCGATTTTCTGTGTCTCTTTACTTCGTCACGACAATCAAAAGTAGAGACATATGAAAGTAGATATTAATTGTATAGAGAGGAATGCAAATCCTGATGGCTCGATTTTTTTCTCTACTCCTCTAGTAATCATTAGGGATGCACCAGCAGCTTCAGCTCAAAGTTCAGCTCTTCGAAGCGAATGAGCTGTTCGAACGTTCTTTTTCATAGAAACTGAACTTTTTCAACAGCCCTACTCAAAAGAGCTGGGCTGTTGAACAGCTCTTTATCAGGAACTGGTTGACGAGATAGCCCTTGAAAATGATAGAGGCCATTCTATCTCGTCAACAGTTCCTCAAAAAAGAGTTGCTCGAACAGCTTCCCTCAAAAGAGCGGAGCTAATCGAACAGTTCGCTCAAAAGACCTGAGCTGGTAGAACAGTTCCTTCGTTCAGAGCAAGAGACGAACTGTTACACCCCTAGTAATCATTCAATCGCATGGGAAGTGCAGTTCATAGTAAGAAAATAATTCAAAGCCATATCGTTTTCTTTATGAAGAAAAATCTAAGCAAGCCATTGACTAATTAAACGTTGTCAAGGATTGTACGATTGTCTATAATATAATCGAAATATCTATCTCTAGTGCTACTAAAAATATATTCCTTAGAGGAGAAGAACAAAACTAAAGGAGTGAAAAATAATGTTGATCATACATACTATTAAAACCTGATTAAAAGCGCATAGCGCGCGTTGCTTTTATCTAAGAGTCACAGATGGTAATGTAAACCATACTAATTGGAAATCAGCAAAACAAAAAGCGAATCCCTTCGCCAATTCGATACTAATTTCAATCGTTTGAAGGTCTTTCACACTAATTTGAAACAATAATAACTATCGACAATGCAAAATCTTATCAATAAAATGCATGCGACAGGTGGAAAAAAGAAATATGATAGTGCTATGGTTCGATTTTATTTCAATTTTTCTAATATTAATTAAAAAAGCTTGTCAGCGCAGCTCCTTTGGAGCTGAAATGTGGAACTCACGTATATCCTTTCAATTTGTTATTCTACTGCATTATTTGTAAACTAAAACATACTATTTTTTCAAATAATTATGAATGCATTAGAATACTCTATAGAAACTGAAGCCTTTTGTGCGCGGTTGTTGACGTCTGTAATGGTGCCCTGTCTGTAATGGGGGACTGTCTGTAATTGGGGGTGTCTGTAATGGGGGGTGTCTGTAATGGGGGGTATGTCTGTAATGTTCTCTTTCTCCGTTGCTATGAGTCTGTAATGGGGGGGTATGTCTGTAATGTTCTCTTTCTCGGTGCCGCCAAACTCGAACTTAAAACTTACACTCACTATTTTCTTCGAAAACATACGTGAGTTCCACAAAAGTAGAGCATATGGGCGTCATTAAAATGATTACTTCTTTTTCTTGATCATTTTAAAACGACAATAGAGACAACCAAAAAAACTAACTTTTGTGTTTGAAAATTGGGCTTATTGAAGTGTCACACTGCTATTGCTAATTTATCTTATTAATGAAGTTTTTTTACGACGAATCTGAATATGGTTTTTTTTTAAACTTCCAATGAAATGAAAGATTTTTATAAAATTGAAAAACCATCAAACTGAAGGGTAAGGGTGTGGGTGTAATAATTGAAGACAAGTGATTTGCATCGTAGAAACCGTCTTATTTGTTAAAACATGTCTTAACTGCATTGATAGAATGAGCAGGTTTCATGTTTACATGTTTCATATTTAGTGAGAAGAGCTTGTTTTTCACTTCAGAACCGCAAACTCTACGATATGAGACGTGACTTGTCACCTTGACCGACGGAGCAAAGAATATGTGAGGACATCAAAGACATTGTCTAGATTCCTAATCAAAAAATAGAAACAGATCCATAGAATTGATATTCCAAACATTCTTTATCTGTCACTAAATTCTCACAATGTAACTGTACTATTGGGATCCGAAAATATTTCTGTTATAAGTTTATTTTTTCCTGAAGATCTTCATTATTAATTGAATAAATTTCTTTCAAAAGCAGCTTTATTAAACGTCAATTGTTCAACTTTAGAAGATTTTATGGTACACTATTACATTGTAGCACAATAGTCAATAACATCACTTCGCTTCAATAGTAGGCACTGCTATGGTGAAGTATCGTGATTCTGTCTCATTATCGTGCGTAGCATGATTTCTGCTTTTGCAACATAGAATTGCTTGAACCGATCGTCTATAAGCAGGTGATATCGTGACAAACGCATAGAACGTTCCTATGGCTCATTCTCAAAAGAGATACAATTTGTTTCATATCAAGACACTGACAGCTATTTCATTTCTACTTAATCTTTTAATATTTCCATACCTATTCCATGCCTACATCACTACTTAAAACTTATGAAAGCTATTTCATTTTCGCTCTACCTACTTAATCATTCTACAGCAATTTAATCTTTATATGAATCTCTATCTCAGTCTCTATAGCTACTTAATTTTCCTATAACTATTTAAACTTTTTGTGAACTATTTGATGTTATCGAATGATTATTCCAAGTGTTATGGGTGTGGGTGTGGAGTGTGAGTGTGGGTGGGAGTATGGATAAGAAGATTCAACACCCACACCCTACTCGTTCAGCATTTTTATTGAGTCAATCTGCTTTCTTTCATTTAGTTTGTATTTTAAAATAATTTATTTATCATTTTCTTTGGTTTTATTTCTTATAGGAAATTCAAATTCATTTATAACGATTGATATATCAGTAGGTTTTATTGGTGTTTCAATATATGTTCCAATAATTCATGGAATATTGATATATTTCTCGACATATGGTTTATCAACAATTTGGTTATTAAAATTATCAAAAGAAGAACGAACTCTTTATTTAATCCAAACAACATTCATAAATCGTTTATTTTCTTTGTGCGTTTTTCTACAACATTATTATTTATTTGTTATTATATTGGCAATTGTAACAAGAATAAAAATCGAAATAATTAATCTATGAGTGAAATCAACAATGAGTTATTACGATAATTGAGGTTATAGAAAAACGATCAATAATTATTGTCAATAACTGTCACGTATTCAGGTTATAAGTAAAAGCCAGAAAATGTATTGTATTATCAATTGCATAATACAATAAAGGTCAAGGTCAATAATGTGTTTTATTGACTTGAAGAACAGAAAACAACTAACAAGTTAGATGAAACGAAATGGATAAAGTAGTCATCTTTTTAAGAAAAGACAAGCATATATATGCATAAAGAGAGATCTCTAAGTTGTGATGACTCATACAATGAAATGAAGAATAGAAAAAGAAACGAAAGAAATATAACAATAGAAATGTTGTTATATACGAAATTAGAGTGATCACAACCAGTGTTTCTAATAGAAATCTAAAATAAAATGTACAGTACACGCTGTTTTAAATGAGCAAAGTGTACATTTACACTTGTTTTCATAAGCAAAATGTACAAAATGTACGGTGTTAAAGTTTTCTATAATAAAAAGAATGCTAAAAACATCTTCATAGCTGATTTACTCAGTAAAAAAAGAGATCAATAATAAATAAGCAAATAGAAAACAAGTGAAAAGCAATTTGTGTGTGATTCATTTAGAAAGACTCACCACACAAAAGTGTAACATTAGAATAGTACATAAACATGAGAAGCTCGATTTACTGTTTTTCGAAATCCTAAACAAGCACAACACCTATCAAAACTATCGTTATCTTCTTCATCATCATGAACATCAATATGATTTGAAGAAAACTAAATTGAATATTGTAATTTTCAAGATTTTCGGCAGCTATCACATAAGTACCGGCAACAAACTGACATAAATCTGAAAAGGAAAAGAATCACAGAGTCACACAAAGGATGCTATCCAACGATTAGTAGAAAAAATAAAAAATAGACCATTGTCTATTCATTGTTTAAGCATAAGTTTTTGGGTGTGGGTGTGGGTGTGGATGGGTGTGGGTGTAGGTGGGTGTGGGTGTGCTGGTGCGGTGTTTTTAAAGGGAGATTGACAGTCACCCATACTCACACTCACACCCGAACCCCACCCGCACACCCACACCCACTACACCCCACCCACACCCCACTCCCACACCCACACTCACCCACACCCGCATCCACACCCACCCACACCCCACCCATACATCCATACCCACCCAACACCCACACCCTTTTTGTATATAGAAAAAATTTGTATATAAGTAGTTGTTTGTTCCACGGGATGATTTTTTTTGCATCTTATCTCATCATACACGGGTTCCTGTTGTGTAGGAATAATAAAATCACAATGTGTATATTTTTATCGATGCCCTTGCTTCACAATTTCGTCCATTTGTTCTATTGTCTTTAAAGCTTGTATACCTTTTCGTGTTGACATTATTCTCAAAGCGCAAATCGAACTGAAAGAAAAAAATACCTTGAAAGTGGTCGAAAATATATTTAAAAGACTCATATGCAATGAAAATGCAAAAAATTGTGCACATGTGGTTACTTCATCGAATTCGCTTTGTCACTCTATTCGTTGCATTGCACATGTTTCTGTTCTGTGTGAGCAAGTAATTGCACAACCATGATGAAGGATGATGACGTATTGTCGATAAACATATAGAAAAAACAACTTCAATAAATTATTTTTAACGAAAGATACCATTCAAAAGCGTACAATATTAATGGCTGAAGAACTTCGATTTTCTCTGTTGAGATTACCAATTGAGCTTGTCTATCGCATTCTGGACCACCTTGACGAATTAACAATCTTATGCTCAGTTCGCAATGTGTGTACAAGATTGAATTT